AAGTGCAGGGACAGGGGTTCAATTCCTGGTCCTGCATGCCATGCCGGCCCCACCCCCAGAGTGTGCAGAGCCAGCAACTGAGTCCAGGTGGAGTGGCACATGCCTGTAATCCCAGCACTGGGGAGGCTGAAAACAAGAGGATCGCTACAATTCCGAGCTGTGTAGTGAGACCCTGTACCAAATACATAAAATGAAAAAAAAAAAGAACATAAAAGAGCAACAGCAATTAGTCTTTCTAAACATCAGTTTCTTCTGAAAATGGGGGTAATAAAGCCAAGCATGGTAGCACATACCTATACATATCTGTATTTCCAGCACTCTGGTAGGTTTAGACAGGAGGATCACAAGTTCAAGCCCAGTCTGGGCAACTCAGCAACTTAATGAGATCCTTTGTCTGAATAAAAATTTTAAAAGAACTAGGGACATAGTTCAGTATGAATGCCCCAGGCTCAACTTTCAGCATATATATCTCTGTCTCTGTCTCCCTGTCTGCCTCTGTCTCTGTCTCTGTCTGTCTCTCGCACACATAGTTACTGCAGATAAACATAAGAATTTTATGATGATAAAAATAATAAAGCTATCAAGAAACAATAACAGCTAAGAACATACATGCTGTCAAAATACATGAAGCAAAAATTGACAGAAAGAGCAAATCTAGACAATTCTATGGTAGTCTACAGTAGGACACTTCAATAAATCCTGCAAAAGTAGATAGAAAATCTGGGTAAAAGATCAACCACAGAAGATATAAAAAATACTATAAACAGGGCTGGCCAGATAGCTCAGCAGATTAAAGTGCCTGCTTAGGCAGACTCAGGGGTTGGAGGTTCGATCTCTGGCCTGCGCCGTGCTGGCACCAGCCCTGCCCCCGGAGCATGCTGAGATGGCAATTGAGACTAGGCGTGGTGGTGTGCACCTGTAATCCCAGTGCTTGGGAAGCTGAAAACAGAGGATCACTACAAATCCTATCTGTATAGTGAGACCCTGTATCCCCTGCACTAAATACAAAACAAAAAAAATACTATAAACAAACTGAACATAACATTCACAGAACACTCCAGCTAACAACAGTACATTCTTCATAAGTACACACAGAAAAATTTCCAGACCAGATGAGATGCTGCACTATAAAACAAACATTCCAAAAATGTAAAAATATCAAAATTACAAAGTATATTCTCTCATAAAAATTAAGTTAAAAAATTGAAATCTTCACAAATAAACAGAAATTAAACAATATGCTCCTTAACAACCAGTCAAAACAATCAAAAGAGAAATCAGGAATATTTTGAGATAAATAAAAATGAACACACTGCATACCAATATATAAGGAATATACATAAAGCTTTACTTATAAGGAAATTTATATGCTTGAATGCCTACATTAAACAAGAAGAAAAACTGAAATGATGAGCTAGTTTTCCACCCTAAAATCCTAGAAAAAGAACAGCAAATTAAGTTTGAACAAACCAGAAAGAGGAAAATAATAAATACAGTGGGATCTAATGAAATAGAAAATTGTAAAACAACAGAGAGACATTGAAACCAAGGTTATTTCTTTAAAAACAAAACTGACAAGGATTACTTAAACTGGCCCAGAATTTTTTTTTGATACTAATGTCCTTCATGAATCACTCTATATTTTTGAATTTTTTTTGTTTTGCAAGGAATGTGCCTACTTACAGAAATATCATTAAATGACTGGTGTGTGTGTGCTTAAGAGTGACATACACATTCTATATCTACCCAACAACTTAACCCCATAGGGAAGGGAAATAGAGGGGAATCTGGGCCACGCGGTACAGTGGTCTTTCTCCACCCAGATTGTTCCTTCTAGAACTTACCTTGTCCTATCTGAGACCGGACTTCTCTAACTTTTGTGTGGGCAAGCAGTCACGTGGAGAGCTTGTTGATCAAATAGGCCGGGTGATGCAGTTATATAACACACGGCAACACACTGTTCTAAGTAGAGGTTTTATGATACATGTATTTCCCTACATTACGGAAGAGATTGATGCCCCTTAAAGGATCATGTTACTAAAATATTAAGTTTGTTTTTATTATTTATTTATTTATTTGGCGGAACCGAGGACTGAACTCAGGCCCTTGCGCTTACCAGGGAAGCACTTATTCTACTGAGCCATCTCCATGGACCTTAAAGTATTACGTTTGAATGTGGCTTTTAAGCCATATGAGTTACTGCAGCTCTAGGAATATGCAGTAACACAGATCCTGTGGGTCAAAATATGCTGGACAAATGAGGCCTCATCCAGACTACGCAAATGTCCACGGTTTTCCTGTGCAGCATTCTTGGTGAAAACCCCCTGAGCAGTGGTTCCACCACTTCCCAATTCTATTCTCTCCAAAGTGCACTGTCTCATAATATTCCAAGAGGGTATTTTCATTACTCTTTCTTTCTTCTCCTTGTGTTTACTCCTTTTTCTCCTTTTTTCTATCCTCTCTTCCTTCCCCTGTTCCTCTTTCTCTTTATGTGAATGGTCTATTCCCCCTAGGAAACCTGTATTTCCAACCGAACCCCAGCCCCTGAGCAATTCTGAACTCTCACACAGAAACAAAACAGCAAAAAGAAGACACTGTCCTTACCAGGGTCCAGAAAGGGCTGGCACGGTTCAGCAGCACCATAGTTCAGTTCCTGTGGCCCTGCCTGTGGGATCCAGGCCTCCGTGACTGGGGCCTCTTGGACAGGGCCCATTACCTGGAGGGCAGGTGACTCCAGATGCAAGTCTGGTGGCATGGGTACTGTTCCTACTGGCGCTAGTTCTTCCAAGAGTATGTCATGCATGTCAACCTAGAGGAAATGCCAGACTCGATTACTTTCTGTCCAGATCCACTAGATAGACAGCTTTTTCTCATTCTGAAGTAACACACTGGCCACCAGCAGTACAAAGAGAGTCATGTGCATAATTTTAAATGTTTTAGTGGCCACATGAAATGGTGCATGAGAAAAAATACAACAGGTCAACCTAAGTAGATGTCATATTGAATCCAAGATATCTTATTACAACTTCAATATATCATCAATACAATAACTACTGAGATATTCCACCTACTAGTCCCTGTAATACTAAATCTTCTGCATGTGGTATGCGTTTCTCATCCAACAAAAGTCTGAATTAGCATTGGCCACATTTTAAGCACTCAAGTTCCACCCATGGCTCCTGTACTGAGCAGGGCATACCTAGATCACTGGAGGAGCATGTCTAAAATTATGTACAGTTAACAAAAACAGAAAAAAGAAGCGAAACGTCTAGGCCAAGCTACTCTAGGGAGTTAGGAATGAGTGGAAGACTGCTGACTTGTCCAAAACCCACCAGCTTCTGCCAAACCAACCCCATACCACCCTCAGGGTCTCTCATATCCAACTGGAAGCACAAGTTTCCTCCTTCCAGACACTGCCCTCTGCTCAGCCTGCCCTTTCTAAACAGGCTTTGCATGGTGGTTGCTCTAAACTACGGGCAATACCACAGCCCTTGCCCCCCTCAGAGGGCCAGAGATAAGACCATCACTCTCATTGTAGAGTTGTTTCATGTTCCTACCCATTGTGGAATTTACCTTCATGCATTTGTGTAGGTAAAATACACCTGCCAAGAACCACATCCTGTTAATCAGAGACAAATCATTTTTGTGTACTTTAGCATGACTTGGGTTTCTTAGGAATGTATTACTGTGGAAATCCCAGGAAGATTACACTATACATTGTTTCAATTGGTAAGGATCTTATTTGTCACTTTGAGAACTCACATTACAAACAGCAAAATTGTCCACAGTACTTGAGCCATAGTCTGAAACCCTCACTGTCCCATCACAGCGATTATAAGTAGAGATATCAGTATATGACCACTTTATGAATTCTTCTGCTGAAGTCAAGCATAGGTGTTCTTACGCAGAAATGTCTATTAGCTTATAACGAACTGTGCTCCTTTCCCTTTCTGTCTGTCCTAGATTTAACTTCGCTCAGGTTTGACAAACTGTTTCTGTAAAGAGTCAAATAGTAAATACTTTTCAGCTTTACCAGCTATATGTATTGTCTCATTTATTTCCCTTCTTTCTTTCTTTTTTTTAAAGAAGACATAGTTTAACACAGTAAAAATCATTATTTTCTCCCAGGTCCACATAAAAAGGGCCAAGATCAGATTTGGCCTATTAGCCCAAGAGAAAATTATTTACAATTCTGGTTGATGTATACGGACTGTTGATTTTGTTTGAAAATTTCATTTACAGCTCAGAAAAGACATGTAATACTGTATATGTTAAAGAAGAGAATGAGGTCTGATAGGGAGGAGAGTCACTGACTTACATGCTAACTGAAGTAAAAGATTAAAATGAAAAGGACTAGGGAGAAATCTTGAGGCTCTGCAATGACAGAGATAAAATCTCTAGCCTGGACCCAGCTGCTTTGATTCTTCTTCTGGCCTAAGAACAAAGAGCCCAAATCCTTTGCTCACCTGTTGTTCTGGTACGTCAAGCTCTCTCTGTAAGTCTTCTATCAGGGATACAACTCTTTCTCTGTTCTCTGGGCAGTGTTCCCTCACCCAGGTCTCTATCTCTGTGGGCAGAATAGTGAGAAATTGCTCCAGCACAAGCAGCTCCAGGATTTGTTCCTTAGAACGCATCTTTGGCTTCAGCCATTGACAGCAAAGTTCCCACAATTTGTTGAAGGCTTCATGAGGCCCAGCTGCTTCAGTGTACTGGAACTGCCTGAAGCGTTGGCGAAACACCTCACAATCAGTGTCATACTCCTGCAGCACAGAGCCCTGATTCAAGGAGGCCTGAATTGCACAGCCTAGGGCCACAGCCATAGCCCCTTCCAGAAGCTTAGAGTTTATCTGGTGCGTGAGGTCAAAGATTCCAGTTTGTTTATCTCTGTAATAATCCTGAGGGGAGCCACCTGCAGCTGAAGGGAGACAGACACAAGAAATGATAATAGCAATGGTTACAAAAGGGCATACTCATTGTTTTTCTGCTTGAACCAAAGACCAAAATGAGCAACTGATAACCTTTCTGATTGTTTTGACTAGTAAAAGCTAGCCTCACTTCCTAGAAAAATACCCACATACATCCAATTTCTAATACATTTCAAAAGTTTACAAAATTTCAAAGTTCCTCCACATACCCTCTGGAATGGTGTTCTGCAATATGCTAGCCACTAGCACCATAGGACACCTCAATTCAAATGCAGTTTCTCAGTAATACTAGTTAAATTTCACACGGTCCATAAATATGGCTGCCAAATTTCTGCTGGAGAGCACTGTTCTGTCATTCCAAAGTTTCAATGCTATGAACCCTACCCTCAATAAGCCCCCATTGATCTACTGATATTTAACCCCACTCCGAATCTAATTCCAAGTATCTTGGATTTCTGAATATGTGGAAATACTGTATAGGGTGACTGTGAACTTGAATAAATTTGAATATCTAGCTCTCAGTATACCTTAATAGCATTCAATCAAGGTGAATTTAGGGAGAGCCATGTTTTGCAAAGACAGAATTGACCAATATTGTCAACCTCTCCTTCTCCATTCAAGACATGCGTAGTTCAGCCAAAAGCACTCAGAATCTCATCCTGCTATAGCATTTCAACTGGCTCTCCTATGAGAAAAATACACAAGCCATGAGGAATCTCCTCTGAATTCATAATGAAGGACTTGTACCAAATTCATGCAATGTACCAGGGACTATTCTAAGTATCCCACACGTATCAATTCAGTTAAACCTCTTCCAACATCAGGAGCTAGGTATTAGTGTGATTTCCCTCACGGAAGATGATAAAAAACAGAGGTCTGATGCTTAGTGAAATTGAATAACTCCTCCAAGGTCACACTGAAAATGCCAAAGGGAAATGGTGATGAGATTAGAAACAACACTTACTCATAACTGGAATATCTAAAACCATAAGGACTTTTTTTTTAATGTATTTTGTACAGAGTCTCACTATGCAGCTTGGACTCATAGTGACCCTCCTGTTTTCAGCCTCCCCAGCGCTGAGATTACAGATATGTACCACCAGGTTTGCAGCATGTGGTGCCAGGGATCAAACTCTGGTTGCCTGTGCTTGCCTTAGCAGGCGCTTAGCCTGCTGAGCTATCTGGCCAGCCGTTTTGTTTGTTTTTGTCCTTTTTCTGCAGTTCAGACTGGCCTTGCAGCCCAGGCTGGTCTCGAACTCACAATTTTAATGCTGGGATTATAGGCATACACCACTGTGCATGCTACCATCATGATGTTTAGGTTGCAGTCATTGAGATTACAGAAGAAGTTATAGAAGTGATACTCTATAGGTCTCAGGACCTGTACATGCCCACATACTATAAAGTTCTCTCTGCATTTGCTGAATGTCATCTCTATGTCAATCTCTATGTCTATCTCTATCTCTATCTCTTTCTCTGTTCCCACATCACCCTTTATCATGATGGTAACTTGAACTTCATGGAAGATGGATTTAGGGATGATAACTAGCCGGCTGTGTGACCCACCCTGATAACCAGTAACCATCTGCAACGTATGCATAATTGTAAAATCAACTTCATAACATCCTGCTCAGATCCAACTGCATGGAAAGCGAATAGCTGCATGTCTGGCACAAGGAAAAGGTTCAATTAAGGTTTATTGCTGGTCAAGGCTCCTTCTAGGAAGCTTCTACTTTCCTGAGCCTAGCCATCCAACCGTTGCTGGAAGGTATCCAGGAACTGTGGGTTTTTTGGCGGTGGACCCACCCGTTAATTGGATCCAGCCTCACAGCTGGCCAGCCCTCCCCTAACTGACCCAAAACCTTCCACCACGTCTACCAGGGAAGTGACCCCTTGGGTTTCCTTCCATCGACCCTTCTCAGTTAAAAGTTCGCTTCACTGTGGTACTGACTGATTTTGCCAAAACCACCCCGTAGGGAACCCACCCTTGTAGGGCCTATGAATACAGCGCTGTGAGAAAGGAGGGCACTTGGTTAAAGGCAAGAGTGACATATCCCTGAAAAGTCTAAAAGCTGGTTTACAAAGGGACGCTGGTGTTTCGGGCATGGTCCCTGAGCACTCCTGGACATCGAGGTACACCGCCCAGAGGGACACTCCCAGCCCCTGAGGACTACTGGGAAGGCCTGGCCGAGTCTCAAGGAGTGGCGGCGGGGTCCCTAATCCGATAGGGGCCCGCGGTCCCTCGCAGTGCCCGGAGCCAACCGCCAAGCGCACATCTGGAATCCACCGGTTTGCCTGGCCCGGGCAGGCAAAGGGAACCCCGCTACCCTCGCCCGCGCCCCAGGGACGGCCACGCCCTCTGGCCGCTCCGGGACTCACCGCCTCGGCGCCCACTGCTCTCCCAAGCTCACCGGCAAATGCCCAGGACGCAGGCGCGGAGTCACGCTGTGGACTACATTTCCCGACAGGCCTCACGCCGCCCTTTGCGTTCAGGGCCCGCAAGGATGCTGACGTGGGAGGGTCTGGGGCTCCCCCAAGCTTCCTAGCTTTAAAATGCACAGTAAAAGCTCTACTTTTTTTTGGGTCTAATGACTTCCTGGCCAGGGGGGAGGGGGACGGCGAGCTGGGAGTCAGAAACTAAGTGAGGGCTTCTGTTCAATAGTCTTAGAGTAACGGGAGCAGGTAGGAAACATTTTTAAAATCTGCTATGACCTAGTCATTCTCAAACCACTATATGTATCTGTGTCTGTCTGTGTGTGTGTTTGTGGGGTGGTACAGCTTGTTTTAAATTCAGATTTTTGGGTCCCGCCCAACATACTGAGGCATTGGAGCTCATATGAACTTGAGCGGGGGCTGCACTATGCAGAGAAGAAATTTAAAAGTAATGTAAGAAATCGAGAAATTTTATTTCAAAGGTTGGAATTTGCTCCTATCACCAAAAAAAGTAAGTTGCTGGGTAGATATAGAATGTGTATGTCACACGCAGGCACATACGCCGGCGCGTGCGCGTGCGCGCACACACACACACACACACACACACACACACACCAGTCATTTAATGATATTTAAGTGGACACACACATTCCTTGTAAAACAAAAGAACTTTAAAAAGTGCAAAGTGATTCATGAAGAATATTAGTATTAAAAAAAAATTCTGGGCCAGTTTAGGTAATAGGCTTTCCTGGAGATCAGACTCCTGTCATCTGCCATGGGTTACAGTGACCTTGAGTTTTCTTGGTACTTTCCTCGTGAAGAACTGAGCTTTCATCAATGGACCCTGTCCATTCCTTTTCACCTTCAACTAGCACCAGAGGTCTGTTGGCTCTTCAGCTTCACCCTTCGGTATGGCCTTACATCTTCCACTTGGTCCTTGCTTGTCCCACCTCTAGAGCCAAATTTTCCCTTCTCAGTGGACATCAGCCAATTTTAACAAGGCCTGATCCAATGGCCAATAGATAGTGATGTTAGTTGGAAACAGTGGTCTTCAAGTTGGTCCCAGGCTGTCTCTGTTGGTAGGTGGATGGCACACTTTTGCACTAGGACTTTGTGTTGGGTGCCAGGACCTAGAAATGTATGGGTCCACAACAGCAAGTGTAAAGTTGCCTGTCCTTGTGCTTTCAGGAGGCTCTGATACAAGCAAACCAGGGCTGGAGAGTGGGGTAGCAGGCACTGAACATCCGAAGACCATGACACTGGAGACAGTTCTGCCCTGGCCCAAGTTGTTCTCTTTGGCCAGGACTTCGAGCCCAGGAACCTAGAGTCCTGGAGAAGCTGCCATTTCTCTCACATTGCCACAATCAACTTAGTCACTTTTTTAAAAGAGAAAATATAAAATAATAAAATAATTAGAAATGATACAGAATTTCACTAAGTAATATGATAGAAATTCAATAATGATTGTTATATTGTATACTGTTGTCTTCAAATTAGTTACCAGATACAAAATTTGCCCAAAAAATTAAAAAGAAAAAAATTCTGCATTAACGATTCCTTTCAATAAGTCAATAGAAACCGTCACTACAATTATCCTATCTTTCTTTCTTTCTTTCTTTCTTTCTTTCTTTCTTTCTTTCTTTCTTTCTTTCTTCTTTCTTCTTTCTTCCCTTTTGTCCTTTTCCTCATTCCGGTTGTTCCTTTGAGCAGTTTCTTTCCTTTTCACAATATCTATTGTTCCTTTGGATTTTACTCTTTCAGGTTCTTACACTAGGAAAGCAATGTGACGTTTACACATGCAGATCTAATTTATTTCACTTAAGAGTATGGTCTCTAGTTGCATCCATTTACCTATAAAAGCCTTGAGTTTATCTTTCTCTATAGCTCAGTAATATTCCATTGTATAAAAATATCACATTTTTAAAAATCTTTTCCTCAGTTGATAATCATTTGGGTTGTTTCCAAGATTTAGCTATGACAACATGTGCTGCTATAAACATGGGTGCACTAAAGGGCCGGTCAATCCAGCTCAGTGGGTTAAAGCACCTGCTTAGGCAGACGCAGTGGCCAGGGTTCGATCCCTGGCATGCTATGCCAGCCCTGCCCTCGGGACACACTGAGATGGAGATTGAGACTGGGTCTGGTGGCACACACCTGTAATCCCAGCTATTGGGAGGCTGAATGCAGGCAGATCACTGAGTCTGATCTATGTAGTGAGACCGTATGGACCCTTACTAAAATACAAAAAATAAAGGAAGAAAAAATAAATAAACATGGGTGCACATATATCACTGTGAAATGATGTCTACAGTTCTTCTGGTTAAATACCCAGAAGGGAAATACCTGGGTTAAATGGGACCTCTAATCCTAGTTTTTTCAGGAATCTTCACACAGATATCCACAGTAGTTACGATAGTCTGCACTCCCACCAACAGTGGAGAAGGGTTCCTTTTCTTCTTCTTCTTCTTCTTCTTCTTCTTCTTCTTCTTCTTCTTCTTCTTCTTCTTCTTCTTCTTCTTCTGCTTCTGCTTCTGCTTCTGCTTCTGCTTCTGCTTCTGCTTCTGCTTCTGCTTCTGCTTCTGCTTCTGCTTCT